GATCAGGATTAGAATTGGTCCTCAGTAACCCATGCTTGTCGTAAGAGTGAGTGAGTGAGTATGGTTTTACGCCGCTTTTAGCAATATTCCAGCAATAACACGGCGGGGGACACTAGAAATGAGCTCCACACAGTGTGCCCATGTGGGGAATCGAACCCGTGACGAGCGAACGCTTTAACCGCTAGGCTACCCCGGCGCCCGCTTTGCGTAAGTGGCTACTCATATCAAGGTATCAGGTGGTCAGGCTTGCTGACTTGGTTGACACATGTCATCATTTCCCAATTGCGAAGATCGATGCTCATGATCACTGGATTGTCTCGCCCAGACTCGATTATTTACAGACCGCCGTCATATAGTTGGAATATTGCTGAGTGCAGCGTTAAACAACAATCAATCAATCAATCAATCGATGAGTCTTATTAAGAGTAACAGGTGTATCAAACCTGTGCCTGTATGAAGAATACAGTTGTGAGACAATATTGACAACAAACAGTAAATGCTTGTGATGTTTCCAGTAGGTGGTTATGTACATAGTCAGTGAAGGTAGTCTCGTCCAAAGATGCATCATCAGCTGAGAACTCTGGATTATTCAAACACCGAGGAACTATCCTTAACCGACAGTACACTCTTGGTTTTCATAAATCTACCAGACAGAAACATTTATTCAGTCACTAACCCACAATACAATATAAAGTATATCACATAGGTGGTAGACATGCAGTTTCTGTCAATGTATGCTTTACACAATACATACACATTCAGTGAGTTTGTTTAAATAATTCTTAAACCTAAGGGGGTAATAAAAATATTAATCATGACAATGATCACAGAAGACTAAAGTACTGTCGGAAATAGAAAAAAAACCTGGGTTTTTCTCACATTTATATCTACAGTTCATTAAGTTAATATGTGAAAGTGTGAAATATCTGTTAAACTAAGTTCGGCCTAAATACAGTCTCAGTGGTAGGGAGATAGGCAACGTAGAAAAAGGACTTTACTGAGGAGAGATTAGTGCAGAAATGAGCATGGCTTTATGCAAATTAGTGTGCGATGATACTGTATTTAAAAGGAGACATTTTAAATGCCTATTTTGAAACTTACCTTAGCTTCATTATAAACGATAGCTGACGTAAATAATACTAACTTTAATACTGAAACTATTAAGGATGTAGCTACTATGGAGCCTCACTATCGCTATAAAAAGAAACAGGTAGGAGGGGTTGTCTCAAAAGCAAAACCAGGACGAGTGTCACAGATGGTGGTTTGGGTCGTACTGGGGAATAGAGATATCAGCTAAGATAAGATAATTCTTTAGGGAAATTAAACTAGGGGAAGTAAACGGCATGTCTTAACAATTAACAAATATTATCCAGCCTCATGTAAGAATGTCGAGTTTTGACTGGTTCACGTGACTCTGATAAAATACCATGTACACCCGTCACGATCCGCGAGCAGGGAGTACAAAAGTCGTATTATCTCGCCATGCCTCGGTGACCACGCGAAGTGAGAAAAGCGTGCATCGCCAAGCCTTTAGTAACGTGCGCTGCATTGAGGTCAATCGATCAGCTGGTGTCAACATGGCATCTCACATACATAAAAACAAGTCGATAAGATGCGTATTGTTTTCTTTTGATTTAGTAAAAACATTCGGCTAGATAAATGCGTTATCACATCGTGTCTCGGGAAATACAACCTTACGAGGGACTGATAAAACCCTATTTCCCGAGACACGATGTGAGAACTTATATTAATATCCAGTCCTGTCGATCTTGGGGTGGTCTTGCCACCTACATATTTTGAGACATTTATTACGACAGTTGATTTAACCTTTTCTATGGGGGTCATATTGTTTTACATATCTCAACTTAAACGTTATGAAAGACACGTAAGATGATAATCAATAGATGAGACTTCCTTAAGTGGCATTTAGAAGCTGGTATGATGAAGTGGAACACTTTTTATGGATAGACAACTTCTTTGTTGCAGTAGTAGTTGCGACGTTTCCGTGTAGATCCTAACACCGTTATCAAGCAAATGATACACAACATTTGCACAAGGAGAAATATATACATGGCGGATATTGGGTTTATACAATAGAGGAGGTTGATGTACGGTGTGTTGACGTGAGACTTGTTGTGATAGGAATGATTGAAGCCAGTAGACAAAGGGTGGGTTATTCTTGATTAGGCTTGATTAGTTGATCGTAAGCCGTGGGGATGTAATAACCTTGATCTCTGTTGATTGCCGGATTGAGTCGTTTGATGTTGATTGCCTCTAAGAGTTTTTTTACAGTACAACCAGAAATTATTGAGATTTTAAGATTGTAATTTTTAAAAACAATTCACTCATTACTCACGTATTAAATGTGAATATTAGCAGAACATAACTCCAGATTCAAAGACAGGTGAACAGTTAGTATTTTGTCAAGTCACCATGGGCAGCAATGCAGGCTTCAATGCGGCGGGGCATACTACTGATCAAAGAAGTTAGAAAGTCGTGGTCCATGCTGTCCCAATATCGGACCACCTCTTCTTTCATTTCAGCAATATTTGTCAGATTTTTCTTATTGACACTTTCCTTCATAAGCCCCCAAACATTTTCTGTTGGATTTAGGTCAGGGCTATAGCTTGTCATATTTTGGGTCCGAAACCAGGCCTGTGAATGCTTTGAACGATGTTTTGGGTCGTTGTCCTGCTGGAAAATAAAAACATTTCCATAGAAAACGTGAGCAGATGGAAGTAAATGTCCCTCGAGAATATCTGTGTACCGCTCACTGTTCATATTCCCTTCAAATACACAGAGGGGCGTTGTCCCCAACACAGATATGCCACCCCATACGTTAAATTTCGAACTGTACTTTGGGCGCTGATACAAAGGTTTTTCAGTTTGTTTGGTCCAGAATTTCAGTGTATTAGGAAACAGCCACACAGAACTTTCATCTGAGAAAATCACATTTTCCCAGTTAAAGTTTCTATGCTGTAAGCACCAGTTCAATCTTCGCTCCTTTTGTCCAGGTTTCATGATCGGTTATGGAATTCCTCGACTTTTCTGCCAACCCGTTGCATGCAGATCAGTTCTAATTGTCTCCTTACAGACAGCCACAGTTCCTCTATCAATCATATCAAGCCTTAAGTTTTCTAAACTCCTTCGTTTGTTTTTAGAAACAAGAATACCAAGCCGCCGACTGTCACCGACTGTCAATTTTCTGGGCCTACCTGCGCCTCCCTGGTGCTCAATGCCATATCCATTTGCACTATTTTTCAAAACACGATAAACAGTGGACAAAGGGATGCCTGTTCTACTTGAAATCACTTTAGCTGATCTGATGTCCTTGTGATATTACTCTAAAATCAACTTCCTCTTCACTAAATCATCCATACTGAGGATCACTGAAAATGTCGTCTGCTGCAAGTAAACAAAGGGGAATAACTCTTCACAAACTAATGAAAAAGGATTAACGGAGTTGTCTTTCTTGAACGAAACCAAGGACTTGATAGCTGGTCAAGGTTGTTTATACTAGAAATCCAATTAAACAAATTCCTAAAATTCTCAATAATTTCTGGTCATACTATATTTTGTAATCTGACCGGTTGGCTTCTCGGATGCTGATCTTCCAAAGTATGGTATGGTTCGGGTGGGCTTGGGTGTGATCGGAAATGGCTGATTTGGAGTCTTTTTTCTTTACAGATGTCTGATGTTCCTTGATTCTTAGGTTTAGGGGGCGGCACGTTTCTCCTATGTATGAGTCACCACAGTCGCATTGAATGTGGTAGACAACGCCTGAAGGGTCTTCTTTGTTGCTTGTAGGTGGTTTACCGTTGGCTTGTAGGATATGCTGAATTGATGTGCCTCTCTGGAACACAACATCTATGTTGTAGTCTCCGGATATGGTGGTGGCTGATTGTATCGACGTATGGTATACTGATGATGAACGGGGATGATTGTTGACGTGGTGGTTTGTCTTTTGGGTTGACTGTGGTGTTGATGGTTCTGTTGACTTGGTTAGCTGGATAATCGTTAAGGTTTATGAAGACATGGCGAAGGTGTTCTAACTCAACTTCAAGGGCTTGGGTTGTGGAGCTGATGTTCTTTGCTCTTTTGGCTAGGGTGGCGATTATACCTCTCTTGACTTGCAGTGGGTGATTAGATGAGAAGTGAAGATATTGGTCCGTGTGGGTTGGTTTGCCATCTATAGTCTGATCTATTGTTTTCAGCAGCTATTCGTGTTTTTTCTAAGTTTTGCCCGATTTTACGAGTAAACATGCATTTCTAGATATCCTATTACACATCTCACTGAAGGCCCAGTTAGGCCGATGTGGATTATTTCAACATATGCTACTTGAAGTTGTGTAAATTTTAGGGATACAGAGTAACAGCCTAATTCTGACAGTACTTTAACTGGTATCATTCAGTCCCTAATGGGGTCATTGACAACCAGCACTTTTAATACAAAGCGTGAAAGTGTTTCATAAGGCTTCCAATTACTGACTGACCGACTGAGTTTGGTTTTGCGCTGCTTTTAGCAATATTCCAGCAACATCGCGGGGGGGGACACCAGAAATCCAATTACAGACACCACTGAGATGGATGTGACTGGCTGCTGTTGTAGATCTTTATCCATACAGAGCTGTGCATCACAATGGCGACTTTTACTCAAAACGTCCATGATTAACATTTTTGAGTTTGACATGTGACATATTATTTCCAGGTGTTTTCAATTAGGAGATAATCCTATATTGTGTTTACATTTTGGAAGTGATTATAGTTGGTTGAACGCTGCTAAATGTTTCATTTAAAACCTCAGGCGTAAACACAATAGGATTATCTCCATTCTGCCATGACATATACACCATGAATAAAACGCGTTTTAGATATGCACTCATTACCCTTACGTAGTGTTTTGACACTACGCGCAGTGAACCGGCTCTCAGAAGTGGTTATTGAAAAATTTTCACTTCTAATTTTTTAGTAACAGCCAATCAAAAACAAACATACTTAAATGTCATGGTAGAATAGTTTATGATCACATGTCACATGGCTTGAGAGGTAATGGTGATACCCGACAACAATGGAAGTCTGGCTCACACAGGTGGAGTACAGTCTGTTTGTAATGGTTTGTCAGTCTTTATCATGTGGGCGTCTGCTGGAATAAGGTTTGGGATGCCATTGACTATTGGGTAGGCAACACCAATATCATCACAGACAAGTTGATTCTTTCCTCTGTCATACCTGGAACAGACAGGATTTAGAAGATGTATTCATGACAGCTTGAAAGATAACTATCTTCAACCATTACCAATTATAAGTCAAATTCTTACATTTACATTTGTAACTGCTTTTGCAGTACACTTACCTAAGAGGTTTTTTAGAGAGTGGACAGGATATGTGCTCCAGGACGGTTTCATCAAAACTCCCTGACTCATTGGCCTTTGCATCTTCTAACAAGGTCTGTGTGGTTGAAAGCCACCTTGATGATGCCAGACCACAAGGGGGCTAGCGCTCTTCTGCTGCCTAAAAATATTAATGGAGAACTATAACAATTACGATATACCCATAGGCAGGGACCTAACAACAGGTAATACACTGATCAACAGGGACATTACACCAGGTAATACACTGATCAACAGGGGCCTTACACCAGGTAATACACTGATAGATGGGGACCTAACACCAGGTAATACACTGATCAACAGGGGCCTTACACAAGGTAATACACTGATCAACAGGGACCTTGCACCAGGTAATACAGTGATCAACAGGGACCTTACACCAGGTAATAGTGATCAACAGGGACCTAACACCAGGTAATACACTGATCAACAGGGACCTTACACCAGGTAATACACTGATCAACAGGGACCTAACACCAGGTAATACACTGATCAACATGGACCTTACACCAGGTAATACACTGATCAACAGGGACCTTACACCAGGTAATACACTGATCAACAGGGACCTTGCACAAGGTAATACACTGATCAACAGGGACCTTACACCAGGTAATACAGTGATCAACAGGGACCTTGCACCAGGTAATACACTGATCAACAGGGACCTAACACAAGGTAATACACTGATCAACAGGGACCTAACACCAGGTAATACACTGATCAACAGGGACCTAACACCAGGTAATACACTGATCAACAGGGACCTAACACCAGGTAATACACTGATCAACAGGGACCTTACACCAGGTAATACACTGATCAACAGGGACCTTACACCAGGTAATACACTGATCAACAGGGACCTTACACCAGGTAATACACTGATCAACAGGGACCTTACACCAGGTAATACAGTGATCAACAGGGACCTTACACCAGGTAATACACTGATCAACAGGGACCTAACACCAGGTAATACACTGATCAACAGGGACCTTACACCAGGTAATACACTGATCAACAGGGACCTTACACCAGGTAATACACTGATCAACAGGGACCTTACACCAGGTAATACACTGATCAACAGGGACCTTACACTAGGTAATACACTGATCAACAGGGACCTTAAAGGTCACATGCAACCAAAAAATCAATCATAATTTAAACAGTTATCACTTATTCATGACATATAATATACATTGCTGGTTATGAAAAAACATATAAACAAAATTATAAGCGTAAAATCGCAAATCAAATATGCAATAATTTGTACTTAGGTTTACTTCCCAAGAAACGAAGCAGCCGGGATACCGAACCCAGTCAGAGCGGGTGAGAGATGTTGGGTTTTGTAAATACATGCTCATTTATTTGTGCATACCATTTTGCAATCAACAGACATCATCTTGTCACTCATGATGTACAGGTATCACAACTGCCTGTCTGTGTAATTACATAATGTGACAGAGACCGAACTCGGGCCATAAATCAATGCGTTTTGTTTATGGTGTATAGCTGATAGGTGTTAAATTCAAATTGCATGTGGTTCAGTATGCGTGCGCAGATCATTAGCAGACAGGCAAGCCAGATCACTGGAATCTGTCTGTCAATAAAACAGACAGAGTCGAGGTCTGTGACAGACACGCATAGCCTATATCACAGCTAGAATTGTCAGCGCTAAATAAACATTGCTTTTAAGTATCCACTGACCGAATGACAGGACCTAAAAGAAGAGCGTGTGGTGGTAATAGACAATGAAATTATATAAACAGATTAAATCCCAATGATAATCTACTGCCATAACCATATAAAAGCTCATACTGTAATACACTGATCAACAGGGACCTTACACCAGGTAATACACTGATCAACAGGGACCTTACACCAGGTAATACACTGATCAACAGGGACCTTACACCAGGTAATACACTGATCAACAGGGACCTTACACCAGGTAATACACTGATCAACAGGGACCTTACACCAGGTAATACATTGACAAGTAACAGTCATTGGTATACAAAATGAAGAGTAATGGATGAAAGAACACAGTCCTTTGAGCTCCAGTAGAGGTTGAGAGGAAAGAAGATTGATAGCCATTGACACTGACATACTGAGTTCTATGTACCCTGAACCTTTAACCCATCTGATAATGTTTTTAATAACACCTAGATCAACAGTTTACCTCAAAAGGTGTGGCTGCATGGCATGGAGATGAGAATAAATATTATACAACTTGAGATTTCACTTATTCATGATTAGGTAACTATACAATTGATAGACATGGAGAAAGATAAATCATGTATAAACATAAATTGATCTGGATAGTGAAAAGAGCAAAATAACCAAATGCCGCAATCGTGCGTATATCACTGAGTTTGCAGGCAGTACAAGAAGTACACGAACAACATTTGACAAGTAAACATCCAAATACTGATTCTGACCAATAGGAAATGTTAGTCACATATGCGTAAATATGAAGTCGAGCAAGAAGTAAGTGTTCACTTGTGTGATCGAACACATGTCATGCCAGTTAATGCTTATCTTTGCTTGTACTTCCAAGTCCAAAAAATGGACTCGAAGCCCTACAGCCGGGATACCGAACCCAGTCAGAGCGGGTGAGTGTGCACTCAAGTGTAATGGCTGGCTCATTTGCAGATGCCCCCACGGCTCATTGTGTGTGTATATATAGAGATGTTGGGTTTTGTAAATACATGCTCATTTATTGTGCATACCATTTTGCAATCAACAGACATCATAACATGTCACTCATGTGTACAAGTATCACACCTGCCTGTCTGTGTAATTACATAATGTGACAGAGACCGAACTCGGGCCATAAATCAATGCGTTTTGTTTATGGTGTATAGCCTGATAGGTGTTAAATTCAAATTGCATGTGGTCAGTGATCGAAGTTGTGTATTGAATATTGTCATTAGCAGACAGGCAGGCAGACACATAGGTGTCAATAAAACAGACATTGAGTTTCGTCTGTGACAATGACATATCTATATCACAGTTAGAAATTCTGTCAGCGCTAAATAATGACATTGCTTTTAAGTATCCAACTGAGAAAATGACTCGGTAAGAAGAACGTGTGGTGAAATAGACAAATGAAATTATATAAACAGTTAAATCGGTAATCTACTGCCATAACATATAAAAAGCTCACGCCTGTGAAATATCAACAAAACATTAGAAAAATAGCTCACACCAAAGCCTTCACCGAGTATTCACCGGACAACCCACTTCCAAGCTGCGCGCAAACCTATTTCACTGCGCATGTGCTATGACTGTAGCCCAGCGCAGCGCAGCGCAGCCCCGCTGGGGGAAAATTAGTGAATCATTTGAACTACGATTTCGCGTGTTTTTTCATCGTGTTATTTTTCAACTTTATAAGTTGAATTTGCATTTTTGATGATTTGTTTCGGTAAGTCCATACCCAAAGGTATCAGAATCTGCAAAGTTGTGTTTTACGTTGCATGTGACCTTCAAACCAGGTAATACACTGATCAACAGGGACCTAACACCAGGTAAAACACTGATCAACAGGGACCTTACACCAGGTAATACAGTGATCAACAGGGGCCTTACACCAGGTAATACACTGATCAACAGGGACCTTACACCAGGTAATACATTGATCAACAGGGACCTTACACCAGGTAATACACTGATCAACAGGGACCTTACACAAGGTAATACACTGATCAACAGGGACCTAACACCAGGTAATACATTGATCAACAGGGACCTTACGCAAGGTAATACACTGATCAACAGGGGCCTTACACAAGGTAATACACTGATCAACAGGGACCTAACACCAGGTAATACACTGATCAACAGGGACCTTACACCAGGTAATACACTGATCAACAGGGGCCTTACACAAGGTAATACACTGATAGATGGGGACCTAACACCAGGTAATACACTGATCAACAGGGGCCTTACACCTGGTAATACAGTGATCAACAGGGACTGATCAACAGGGACCTGATCAACAGGAAAGACCTACACCAGGTAATACACTGATCAACTGGGACCTTACACCAGGTAATACACTGATCAACAGGGACCTAACACCAGGTAATACAGTGATCAACAGGGACCTAACACCAGGTAATACACTGATCAACAGGGACCTTACACCAGGTAATACACTGATCAACAGGGACCTAACACTCATAAGTAGGGGCTGTGCACTCGGTAATACACCTATAAGTAGGGGCTGTGCACCCGGGTGATACACCCATAAGTAGGGGCTGTGCACCTGGGTGATACACCCACAGGCAGGGACCTTACACCAGGTAATATATTCCTAGACAGGGACCTTACACACAGGTGATACACCCATAGACAGGGACCTTGCACCCAGGTGATACACCCATAAGTAGGGGCACCAGGTGTAAACAATATACAGCATACGACCTCAGGGACCAAGAACAGAAAACAATGACTTTTAACAATTGAAAACTGCTCACTGGTTAATATAATCACAATTGTGATCTGACATCACTGTTAATTGTATAAATAATGTTTAGTTTGTCACAGAGTTAATTTCCGTAAAGGTATTTGTAATCAAACCATACATTTTTAGAGCCGTTGGCGAGGATAGATAACCTACCCTTACACAACTAAGCCTAAAGACAGAGGAGGCACCAGTGGTCAGTGAAGAGATACTATGGAACTTTCATGAAATATGTCTAATTGTCATAGATCTATTACTATTTCATATACTGGGTGGCAAACGTTTCTATAAAATCGCGCTAACACAACGATGATCCGATCATATAAACATGTATTAATAATGGCATTGCCCAATGGCCCACTGAAAAAACCACAACAACATTCTGTAATCTTATGTACACGCCAATTCTAATTTCAAACTGCAATCGCCTTAAGACTTCACTTTTATATGTCAATATTCACCTTGAAACAAATATTTTGACATGTGTTTCATGGACGCCGCCATGTTTAGGGACCAGTCAACGTTCGTCAAATTTTCAGTGAAATGTAAAATATGTGCCTGATTTTATTTTATTGACTCAAGAAATTCATAGTAAGGATATAGTTTAAAAAGCATTAGTTAATTATTTTTTACCGTATTAGAGGCAATTATGTTGAATGGAGGTAGTTATTTAGAGTACAAAAATAAATATGGTCCCCGGTAAACTTTCTTTCCTTCAAAGATGAAAACCTGTTTAGCAATGGCAATAACGGGGAGCCAAGTTGCTGAGCACATTCTGATTTCTGTTCGTTGGACAAAATGAATTAACTTACTCATGATGTCTGAAAAACGCCAAAGACCGAGCATGGAAACTAAAGCCACCACCGGTACCGTAGTTATTGTAGTATACTGATATTTATCTAACCACAGAACAGGATATTTACATCGGTGTACCAAGGGAAAGTGCAAAAGTGACTTTTTGTAATGTACATTACGTTATATTGATGGACATGGTTCATATACGTTCACTGTTCTCTTTAACATGTTGTTGTTTCAGACACTCTGTACAGTCAACTCCCATTGTCAGTTAAAATACATGGCCATGAATTAGGACTCAAGGTAGGAAACAAGACAGCTGAGTTCTGCTGATGAGCATGATGAAAGGACAGTTTGTGTCCACCATATGTATGATGCTGATTTGACTCTTACATGTAACCATGGTAACAACAATGTTAAACACAGAGTGTAATATTGGCTTGTGTGGTTTTCAAGCTATCCATACTTTGTACAGTGGTATGGACAAATGAAATATGACATAATTTACAGTATATATGTATGTAAATGAGATATCACTGGAAATGTGAATTTTATCAATGTTTTATGCATAAATTTATGTAGAATATTAGACATGGTGAAATTTTATGTTCTGTCAGTTTAATGCATGATAAGTTCTTGCAAATTGTATTAATCTGCTCTGCAGCCAATCAAGAAGCAAGGCTTTGTGACAGCGTTCCTGGAGAAGCACCTACCAGTGCGTAGACTACAGCAAGGGGAGGGTGACCTCAGTCACAAGGTGGAGTTCCTGGATGCCAGGAAGAGAAAGAAGGTTAAGGAGGCCTGTGTTGGAAAGAAAGGACTCTCAAACAAGGACAGGAAGCGACTCAAACTGTTTGACATCAAGAAGGATCAACAAAAGTAAATGACAAGATTGACTTCTTTCAACAGATATTGCTCATCATTGATTATCCATTGCATCAGTAACCCTAAGTACCCTGGACATATTTGGATGTATTTGATACCATAGTTCAGAAGTGATATGACAAATGCCATCACTTCGACCTTTAACATGTTGAAGCTCACACTAAATTCTTCTTTTAACATGTTATATTTGGGATTACACTCTCTCAGTAAAGAATAGATTCTAGTACTTTTGTTGGGTTGAATCCCATCTGGGATTCGTACGCACACTCTTAGAGTCAGGCATAATAGTTGTCACCATGTGGAAGCTGTGTTGGTGGATTGGATAAGATGGCCGACTTTGTCTGTTGCATATATTTCTTATTTTTATATTTGGAACATGTTTAGCAGATGTTTCTCCTGAAACACCACATTGATTTATGACTTATTAACTGGTGTAAAAGATAATTAGAATTGTTTCGCATATATCTGTCTGTAAAATCTGTGAGATTCTGATATTGTGACTGCACACAGGTATGAGGATTATCTCCCCCTGCACGCCCTGTGGACAAGCTATGTGAAAGATCTCATAGACTTCCAGCAGTGAGTAATCTTATGACCATGATGTGTAGTGGATATATTCTTGTAACTTTCCACTGGTGAGGACTCCAAGGCAGAACCTGTTGTTGCTTCATGTTGTTGTGTGGGTGGCATGTAATGGGTCGTCCGACTACACGAATCATGCTTTCAGTCACTTGTTTGCTCCATCTGGACTACTTTCAGTCTGCTGTAATACAACTGGAGTGATGCTGACTGCAGCCTTAAGCATCACCTGTAATGTAAGTCAGAGGTTATCTGGTTTACTTCATCAGTGACCTCATGGGAAGATTTCTTTGTTTTTAAAATTAGGGCCTGTTCATAATTTATGGCTGAGGGGGCCCCTGATTTGTGTGTGTGTTTGACCCATTTTGTTCTCGGGAGGTAGGGGGTCATCAGTTATGTAAACATGTACAGGCGGGAGGTTGTCATTGCTTCTGTACGTAACATGCACAGGGGTCACTTACTTTGTACATACATTGGGGGTGGGTGGGCGGTGGAGTTATTCACATTGTACATGCTTCTCCATAACAATTTTATCACATCACATTTCATGCTTTATTGGCATCAAATGCAGACCCAGAAACCTGAAGTTGGTGTTTTTGTTCACGTTTTGAGTCGAGCATGGTGTCCAACACCCTGGATACCTCTAGCTAGATTGGAGAAAGCAGCTGTATTGAGGGCAGTACTTTGTCTGATACTTACTTTCTAACAAAGCTGCCAGTCTCTGGTCAGGTACTAGTTATACAATGATAAATCATTAGATTTTCATGTACACTTGTTAACACATAGTCTTAGGTCTCCATATATGTTGAAAACCTGCAATGTGTGTCCCCTTTAACTTGACATTAATATCATACAGTCCAACCACATATATAAATGCTTCATATGAATCACAATAGTTCATTTATACAAATGCCTTTTACAATTTGTTAAGAAAGAACATTTTTGAAAAAAAATGGATGGAATATAATGATTTTTGTATTGTGGCCTTATAATGTTTTTCTTCCTTTGAGATTGAATGAAAAGAACCACATGACAGCCACTGTGAAGTTTATGAAAGCTGACCTCCATGGCTGCATCATCACAGTACAAAGGTCCAAGTGTGCATCCTATGTGGGTACCACTGGGATAGTGTTGAAGGAATCTCGCAACATGTTTCAGATCATCACAACTGACAACAGAGTCAAAGGTATCATGGTGTACTGGACCTCCTCTTAAACAGATGTTGAAATAGTTATTTGTGCTGTGAAACTAACCTGAGACTGGAGTGACAATGTGTAAAACTTTGTAAAAGTTTATGTGGGTTACAGTTGTTGTATAAGAGGTAAGAGCTTTGTTGAAAGAGACCCTGCCCTGTTTACCATTCCTCATTACTGCACTGCCCTGCCCTGTTTTGTCTTCCAGACATCCCCAAGCGGAACAGTGTGTTCACTGTGAAGGTGGAGGGGTTTCGATTCACTGTACATGGTAACCATTTCAAGGTGAAGACTGCCGAGAGGCCAAGTCGCCGCTTCAAGAGTAAAGCCACTATTGACCTGTGAAAGTCTGTTAACATGGTTAAGTCCAATTAAACTCAGGAACTGATGCCATATGAAGTAAAGGCTTCAGTGTGGCTTGCTGTGTTACTTTATCATGTAATGTATCCAGTTATTGCCTTGAGCAAAGTTTCTTTTTCTGAATGAATGGCAGCCTTTCCAACTAACTGAAGTGGGCCATAAAATGTGAATGTGATATGTCACATAGACAATAATATGTGATAATAACAAAGGCAGTGGAATCCTCAGACTGTTATGTGTAGCATGTGTTCTATCCCGAACTGTAATGTCTGGTGAATATGTGATCTGGCAGTCTTTAGTTTGTTGTTTAATGCCGCGCTCAGCAAAATTCCAGCTATATGGCATTGGTCCGAAAATAATTCACTCGTGCCAGACAATCCCATGATCAGCATCATGAGCATCGGTCTATGCAGTTGGGATATGATGACATGTGTCAAGCAAGTCAGCGAGCCTGATCATCCGATTCTGTTAGTCACTCTCACTTCTTCCGATAAGCATGGGTTACAGAAGACCAATTCTAACCCTGGATCTTCACGGTCTCTGGCAGTCACTACAGTGGGCCATGGACTGACATATGTCTCCATTACTTACCAACTGGTTTATAAAGCAAACAACAATTTAAAAATAATCTGTTTATTTCAGATAGTATACAAAAATAGAGTAGAACAATAATCATGATAATTATCAAAATCAACTGCATGGACAAATATTAATACATGCAATAAAAAAAAATGTGTTGCATGCATATGTACATGTTAAAATTTATGTATTAAATGAAAGTTTGTTAAAAGGTATCTTAGGGATTTAGTTGTCATTTTTCTTTGTACACCTCTTGTCTGCCTGAAGAGAGGTGTACAAACTACTGCACCCTCAAGGAAAGGCTAACAGTTTGGAGTAGCAAACCACGACGCTACCAAAGTTTGTCCAATGATGGAGTGAGTGAGTTGAGTTTTACGCCACATTCAGCAATATTCCAACTATATGGCGGCGGGACCAAGTGGTAAATTTGCATAATATACACGGTGGCAACATATTTTGTTTTAACGTTCTGTTTAATAGTTGCATAGTTTTCTCAGTAGTGAACAGTATACATGAAAAACAAAGCAGAAATTCACTTCAATGAAAACCGTCAGAAATGGTGTGATGTTTGGTAATCAAAGATGGTAAGTTGGAAACAATATAAATCAAACAAACAAACAAACAAAAACAAAGATTTCTTTCTTTATTCCTTCAATATAGGTTGGAGAAAACACTGCTCTATTGTGCTGCTCACTTCTAGTGCAAAAGAAACAAATGACATCATTCAGAACTGTCTGATTCATCAATTCAAATTAAAATATAGAACAAATTATCTGAGATTTTCAGCTAGCCAGTCGGGATAGCTTTATAAATGTATTACTGTGTCGATTCACAATCAGCTAGCATTTGGCTAGCCATCCAGTCGCTATTTCGAAGCTGTATTAATGTTGCTGTAACGTTGTGATATAACGTTATAAAATGAAGTAATGCCTTCCCACAAGGTTGAGAAACCATTGTGTGTTAGCTGGGAGTATACTCAAAGTTCAGGATGCCAGAGGATCTAAAGTCAGCTTTGAGGCTTGATGTACGTGCAGGGAAATGACGTAAGAAAAATTCATAGTGATGTCCAAGAGGCTGTCTGTACCATCTTGTGTGCAATGAAGGTTATAATGTAAGACACACAGTGATCTCCAGGAAGCTGTCTGTACCAGATAGTGTGGTGGTTCTTATGCAAGACAGACGTAGTGATATCCAAGAAGCTGTCTGTATCAACTTGTCTTTTTCTCCTCCCCAGCTTTGTTCTCCCTCTCAGACTTACACTTACGACAGATTCGGTCGAAATAGTCCAGATAGAACAGTGAAATGACACGGAACAATCCCACTGTTGCTACCTGAAACACAAATACGGAAGTGTTTGGTATGTGTCCTTAAAAGCAAACAGCAAGTAAATGGGAAGTGACGGGATGGGTGAGCAGCTTTAGATAGCTGATCTGTTTTCCTACATTAGCTGGTTATTTATTAAACATTTGATAAAATATATCACCCATATTTATATTTTCTGCAAGATAGTTAATGAATAGATACTAAAATCACATTGAAAAACAGATCTACTGAATGTGACAATATGGAGGATATCACACAAATATCTCCCCTTACAGTGTGTAGGTGGAGATAATGGGTGGACTATGGACAAGAGGAGTGCAATATGCATTGTCTTGCATCTACTGAGTCAATGTTTCATGGGTTTGTGTAAGTTTCATTCCTCCATCACCCATGAATACCTTCTGTCACTTTGCAATGTAATAGGGACCAATTATTGGTTTTATGAAATGACGCCATCTATAACTCAAGAATGTTAAAAAAGCCTAACTCTGGGTTTGTACAAACACTGCTGTTGCCTGACACTGTAGCTATGAGTAGAGTCTGCAAGACTTGTTTGGTTGTCAAAAGAAGCAAGAACACTGAATTTGATTTCACTGATATTGCATGTTGACATTTGATTTCACTGATACTGCATGTTGACATTTGATTTCACTGATATTCCATGTTGACATTTGATTTCACATGTTGACATTTGATTTCACTGATATTGCATGTTGACATTTGATTTCACTGATATTGCATGTTGACATTTGATTTCACTGATATTGCATGTTGACATTTGATTTCACTGATGCATTGACATTTGATTTCACTGATATTGCATGTTGACATTTGATTTCACTGATATTGCATGTTGACATTTGATTTCACATGTTGACATTTGATTTCACTGATATTGCATGTTGACATTTGATTTCACTGATATTGCATATTGACATTTGATTTCACATGTTGACATTTGATTTCACTGATACTGCATGTTGACATTGATTTCACTGTTACTGCATGTTGACATTTGATTTCACATGTTGACATTTGATTTCACTAATACTGCATGTTGACATTTGATTTCACTGATACTGCATGTTGACATTTGATTTCACTGATACTGCATGTTGACATTTGATTTCACTGATACTGCATGTTGACATTGATTTCACTGTTACTGCATGTTGACATTTGATTTCACATGTTGACATTTGATTTGATACTACATGTTGACATTTGATTTCACATGTTGACATTTGATTTCACTGATATTGCATGTTGACATTTGATTTCACTGATACTGCATATTCACATTTGATTTCACATGTTGACATTTGATTTCACTGTTATTGCATGTTGACATTTGATTTCACATGTTGACATGTTGACATTTGATTTCACTGATACTGCATGTTGACATTTGATTTCACTGATACTGCATGTTGACATTTGATTTCACTGATACTGCATGTTGACATTTGATTTCACTGATACTGCATGTTGACATTTGATTTCACATGTTGACATTTGATTTCACTGTTACTGCATGTTGACATTTGATTTCACATGTTGACATTTGATTTCACTGATATTGCATGTTGACATTTGATTTCACTGATACATGTTGACATACATGTTGTTTGATTTCACTGATTGATTTCACATTTGATGACATTTGATTTCACTGATACTGCATGTTGACATTTGATTTCACTGATACTGCATGTTGACATTTGATTTCACTGATACTGCATGTTGACATTTGATTTCACTGATACTGCATGTTGACATTTGATTTCACATGTTGACATTTGATTTCACTGTTACTGCATGTTGACATTTGATTTCACATGTTGACATTTGATTTCACTTGATACTACATGTTGACATTTGATTTCACTGATACTGCATGTTGACATTTGATTTCACTGATACTGCATGTTGACATTTGATTTCACTGATACTGCATGTTGACATTTGATTTCACTGATACTGCATGTTGACATTTGATTTCACATGTTGACATTTGATTTCACTGATACTGCATGTTGACATTTGATTTCACTGATACTGCATGTTGACATTTGATTTCACTGATACTACATGTTGACATTTGATTTCACTGATACTGCATGTTGACATTTGATTTCACTGATACTGCATGTTGACATTTGATTTCACTGATATGACATGTTGACATTTGATACTGCATGTTCACTGATACTGCATGTTGACATTTGATTTCACTGTTACTGCATGTTGACATTTATTACTGCATGTTGACATTTGATTTCACATGTTGACATTTGATTTCACTGATACTGCATGACATTTGATTTGATTTACTGCATGTTGATATTTGATTTCACATGTTGACATTTGATTTCACTGATACTGCATGTTGACATTTGATTTCATTTGATTTGATACTGCATGTTGACATTTGATTTCACTGATACTGCATGTTGACATTTGATTTCACTGATACTGCATGTTGACATTTGATTTCACACATGTTGATACTCACATGTTGACATTTGATTTCACTGATACTGCATGTTGACATTTGATTTCACTGATACATTTGCATGTTGACATTTGATTTCACTGATACTGCATGTTGACATTTGACATTTGATTTCACATGTTGACATTTGATTTCACTGATACTGCATGTTGACATTTGATTTCACTGATACTGCATGTTGACATTTGATTTCACTGATACTGCATGTTGACATTTGATTTCACTGATACTGCATGTTGACATTTGATTTCACTGATACTGCATGTTGACATTTGATTTCACTGATACTGCATGTTGACATTTGATTTCACATGCATGTTGACATTTGATTTCACATGTTGACATTTGATTTCACTGATACTGCATGTTGACATTTGATTTCACTGATACTGCATGTTGACATTTGATTTCACTGATACTGCATGTTGACATTTGATTTCACATGTTGACATTTGATTTCACTGATACTGCATGTTGACATTTGATTTCACTGATACTGCATGTTGACATTTGATTTCACTGATACTGCATGTTGACATTTGATTTCACTGATACTGCATGTTGACATTTGATTTCACTGATACTGCATGTTGACATTTGATTTCACTGATACTGCATGTTGACATTTGATTTCACTGATACTGCATGTTGACATTTGATTTCACTGATACTGCATGTTGACATTTGATTTCACTGATAATTGCATGTTGACATTTGATTTCACTGATACTGCATGTTGACATTTGATTTCACTGATACTGCATGTTGACATTTGATTTCACTGATACTACATGTTGACATTTGATTTCACTGATATTACATGTTGACATTTGATTTCACTGATACTGCATGTTGACATTTGATTTCACTGATACTGCATGTTGACATTTGATTTCACTGATACTGCATGTTGACATTTGATTTCACTGATACTGCATGTTGACATTTGATTTCACTGATATTGCATGTTGACATTTGATTTCACTGATACTGCATGTTGACATTTGATTTCACTGATACTGCATGTTGACATTTGATTTCACATGTTGACATTTGATTTCACTGATACTGCATGTTGACTGATACTGCATGTTGACACTTGATTTCACTGATACTGCATGTTGACATTTGATTTCATGTTGACATTGATACTGCATGTTGACATTTGATTTCACTGATACTGCATGTTGACATTTGATTTCACTGATATTGCATGTTGACATTTGATTTCACTGATACTGCATGTTGACATTTGATTTCACTGATACTGCATGTTGACATTGATTTCACTGATACTGCATGTTGACATTTGATTTCACATGTTGACATTTGATTTCACTGATACTGCATGTTGACATTTGATTTCACTGATACTGCATGTTGACATTTGATTTCACTGATACTGCATGTTGACATTTGATTTCACTGATACTGCATGTTGACATTGATTTCACTGTTACTGCATGTTGACATTTGATTTCACATGTTGACATTTGATTTCACATGTTGACATTTGATTTCATTGATACTGCATGTTGACATTTGATTTCACTGATACTGCATGTTGACATTTGATTTCACTGATACTGCATGTTGACATTGATTTCACTGATACTGCATGTTGACATTTGATTTCACTGATACTGCATGTTGACATTTGATTTCACTGATATTGCATGTTGACATTTGATTTCACTGATACTGCATGTTGACATTTGACATTTGATTTCACTGATATTGCATGTTGACATTTGATTTCACTGATACTGCATGTTGACATTTGATTTCACTGTTACTGCATGTTGACATTTGATTTCACATGTTGACACTTGTTTGATTTCACTGATACTGCATGTTGACACTTGATTTCACTGATACTGCATGTTGACATTTGATTTCACTGATACTGCATGTTGACATTTGATTTCACTGATACTGCATGTTGACATTTGATTTCACTGATACTGCATGTTGACATTGATTTCACTGATACTGCATGTTGACATTGATTTCACTGATACTGCATGTTGACATTTGATTTGATTTCACCTGATATGTTGACATTTGATTTCACATGCATTTGACATTTGATTTCAGATACTGCATGTTGACATTTGATTTCACATGTTGACATTTGATGTTGACATTTGATTTTCACTGATACTGCATGTTGACATTTGATTTCACTGATACTGCATGTTGACATTTGATTTCACTGATACTGCATGTTGACATTTGATTTCACTGATACTGCATGTTGACATTTGATTTCACATGTTGACATTTGATTTCACTGATACTGCAAAATATTGTTACAAACTGAAAATGGTTTCATAAAGATGTTGGGGAAGAATTTTGTTCTATAGCACACTTTGTGCATGATGTCACACTGTATTGACGTCACTAGGCCCAATTATCGTCTGCCCCCTTGGCAACCGATGTAACGATGCCTGTCAGTTGTCATATCCTTGTACAGCCTCCTACATTAAACTACTCCGTTGCACCCCGTTTCTTAGTTTGCAGTTGCTTCATTCGGCTAACATCACTGGTGGAAACTTTTCGATGGATATGTCTCAGTTCGACTCACAATTAAACAGCGATACGGCAACATTCGCAATGTTTACATTCCCACAATGCACATATGTTGTAGAATGAATGAATTCAAATGTTTGTTATGAATGAAAAAGTAGTTCCGTCACAACATGACCTAATTGAGAGGTCATCGGTTATCCAATCAAATCGTTAGAATCTCAGGTCAAGTCGTTACGACACAGGTCAACGCGATACGACACTCGTGTGAGGTACGAGATTAGTATGCAACTACCCATACTTTGACCACGTGGGTAATAAAACTACATAAGTTGTTATGTACAAAGTTCCATTACATGTATAAATGGGAGGGTTAAGCTGCATCACTGCTGACACAGCTAAACATGTAATGATGGTGTGACTGACCTGCTGAGTCGCTTCCATGATGGACGTGACTGGGGACATCCCACAGGTCAGGTTGGCCAGCATGTAGCCATCCAAACCCATGTAGCTGAAGAAACGACCTTGCTGTAATGAGGAACAAACTAACAGTGCCCTTTGACTATTGTGTTTCTCCGCTGCAGTATTTGACAAGTATGTAGGGGCAAGCACTGCTTTTTCACTCTTGACACTTATTGTTGGAATCATTATAAGACATGATTTGTTGTTACTGCTATGTCACAGCAATCTGTAATAAATCAAGTCTGGCCCAGGGTGCAACCGGTTCCAGCCCTCAATCCCCCGTAAGGATTTGGGTGTATGTTAAACAGATCAAACTGTGACACTAGTGTACACAATAATGAGTTCAGGAAAAGATAGTGTGGCATCATATGTCTGGTGGTCTCTGTGTATGCTCTACAATGAGGCAGATGGGCTGTACTATTATCACTGCTTGTGTCCTGCACTGTTTTCAGCTTGTTCACCACAGTGTGCCAGAAAATGTAGTCTCTTTAATGTGTACAGTAACCTAAGAAACTATGTCAGCTTACAATTGCATCCTTGATGATTGTTTGGGCAACATCTGTCGGCTGGAATAGACCAGCTGTTTCTGATATCAGTCGTGTTTCAGCAGGCTGTAAGAGAGAAATGTCCTCACTTGCTACCCATAGCCAAACACATTCACATAGGTAGCATAATACATACATCCTTATATTGCTAAAACTGTTTCACTGTGTTATCCCCCAAACAATGCTGCCAGAACCTGAGACAACAACAATTCGGCTTCCCATTTTATATTTCTAGCACGACACATTAAGCTTAATTACTCCTGATGAGGTCGACCAGAGATAGAATGTCAAGAGGAATTATCTCATTAGAGAATCTGGAGAACCGAGAAATGTTACAACCAGATGCCATCTTGTTTCACAAAATGCATTGTTCCATCACATGATGCTTAACAGAGGTATAACACTTATAATGACCAGTAAACAGAGGTATAACACTTATAATGACCAGTTAACAGAGGTATAACACTTATAATGACCAGTAAACAGAGGTATAACACTTATAATGACCAGTAACCTGAAGCAAACCTTTGATTTCTGTTCCTCTGCAAATCCTGGTGTGTCTGTATCAGCTGGGAAGGCCAGTGTTACATATACATTGTAGGGCTTCATCTGAAACAAGATGGGAAGGCCAGTGTTACATATACAGTGTTACATATACATTGTAGGGCTTCATCTGAAACCAGGTGGGAAGGCCAGTGTTACATATACGTTGTAGGGCTTCATCTGAAACAAGGTGGGAAGGCCAGTGTTACATATACATTGAAGGGCTTCATCTGAAACAAGATGGGAAGGCCAGTGTTACATATACATTGTAGGGCTTCATCTGAAACAAGATGGGAAGGCCAGTGTTACATATACAGTGTTACATATACATTGTAGGGCTTCATCTGAAACAAGGTGGGAAGGCCAGTGTTACATAAACATTGTAGGGCTTCATCTGAAACAAGGTGGGAAGGCCAGTGTTACATATACAGTGTTACATATACATTGTAGGGCTTCATCTGAAACAAGGTGGGAAGGCCAGTGTTACATATACATTGTAGGGCTTCATCTGAAACAAGATGGGAAGGCCAGTGTTACATATACAGTGTTACATATACATTGTAGGGCTTCATCTGAAACAAGATGGGAAGGCCAGTGTTACATATACAGTGTTACATATACATTGTAGGGCTTCATCTGAAACAAGATGGGAAGGCCAGTGTTACATATACATTGTATATAGTGTTACATATACAGTGTTACATATACGTTGTAGGGCTTCATCTGAAACAAGGTGGGAAGGCCAGTGTTACATATGCAGTGTTACATATACATTGTAGGGCTTCAACTGAAACAAGGTTGTCCTTCAAATCATTGTGTTTCAAGAATTATTACCAACATTTGACACAAAGACTCAGTGAATAACCACTCACATCATGAAGGCATCAAATCTTTCCCTTCAAATGCAGAATGCAGGAAAAGAAACTGAATTGTCTGTTGAGCCTTACTGTAATGATTATTACTTAGAAGTATTTCACAACACCATCAGCATGATCTGCATGAGAGTATGTAGAGTGTAAAGTGTAGAGTAAATATGAAGCAAATATTAATAGACAGATTATACATTTGTCAATGACCAAGAGACACCACTACAACCTCTGTTTGACGTGGCCTACATGAAATGTGTAAAGGAAACTGTTCTAAAAGCAAAACCTGCATGTCAAACCTATTTTCATCTGGGTTCAAGCCAAATGGAAAGTATGTTTCCTGAGGGGATACTTCAAACACTTTCTGGCTTATCCTTTGAACACAAACCCAATATTGTATTTCAATGTAATCAAACTATTTGCTGTGATTTCAGAAAATGAATTCATTTAAAATTTTAATTGAACAAGCATGACAAAGGAATTTGGGTGATGTATTAGCACAGACTGATGAAACATTTCTGGGATCGGAAAGTTAAACAAAGTCACCTCCATGTGTAGTGACTCTGCCAATCCTCTCAATGCATATTTAGAGGCAGAGTATGCTGTGTATCCAAACAGTCCGGTCTGCCCTGCTTGTGATGACACAAACACAATACGTCCTTTCTGGCGCCGCTTCATCCCAGGAACAACAGCCTTGGTGGCGTACACGCTGCCCATGTAGTTGATGTCAATCATTCTCTGAAACGTACAGGTTGATAACGGAGTCTCAACATGACAATATGGCTGTGGATATTCTAAGCAACCTCCCTCAGCATTAGGTATGATGATGCTCACTCAGACGGTTTGACAGGATTCATTATCCAGTCCATTCTAATGCCTCTTACAACAAACGTAGGCTTAAGTTACTATGGACCTATTTTAACCTGGAATCCCCACTGGTCTATTGTTGCATTTGATAACAATGGTCATAATAAGTAAATCTAATTTGATGTGAAACAGTTGAACTGACATGGTAGGATGAGTATCATTTTGTCTTCAAAAGCCCAGTGGTTTTATTTCAAATTTACAAAATTTATAATAAATTGTATATTTATATACTTATCCTATCTCCCACGGTATGCACCATCTCTCTCTTCTACGACCATGTGTGGAAACGTGCAGTCAGCTAAGTTGAGTTAAATCTAACTGGCCTCTGACCTCTGCCCTCACCCCGACATCACATCTGTTAATCATCCACCAAAGCATGCGGCTCGCCCAAACGATCACATGACTACCTCTACCTGTCATTCTCGTCTTGGAGCTTCCAGTCATCTGTGATGTGGGGCAGGTCGGGTGGGTCCTATCGCGTGATATAGGATAAGTATATAAATATACAATTTATTATCAAATTTTCAAATTTTTAAACTTATCCTATCTCACGGTATGCATAATCCCACGGTTGGTATGCTGGTCGCAGATTACCCTGTTACTACTACCACTGGGAAAAACACATAACCCAAGGAGGCCAGGAGAAATCACCAACTCCCGATATGCAAACTCCAAACTTGAGATGGGTTCTTCATGTAACCCCTTGGCTTACACAGCACAAAAACTCTAGGGAGTGGGCGCTCCGGAATTAATGTGGTTTTCAGCCGCAACTTTTGACAAGCAAAAGGACGCAGTTTGGCAAGTAGGCCCCGCCGCCCCATGCATCGCCCCGATTTATCAGATGACCCCAGTGAATTAAAGTCGAGGACCTTAATCTGGCCAGTCCCTGCTTCAAACTACCCCCACAGACACAGTGAATGAAAAGAGGGAATAGCCCGTTGCTCAAAGTTTAACGCTCAGTACCAATCCCCTAACTTACCAAAGGTGAGAAAGGACTTAGGAGCAGAACACTTCGAAAACCAAGCAGGTAATCGGAAATCAACACTTCACTGGCGTGAGAGTAGAGGTCAGTAAGCGGAATGTCGGTCATCTCTACATGTTGTACTAGACTTGCCTCACAGTCTATCAAGGCATAACCAGTGCTGCTATTCCCATAGGTGAGAATGATCTAAGCCCAAGAGAAAAAGTACCAAGATCTGGATTACATCGATATCTTCTATTAGGTACATAGTAAACCGATTAAGAAAGGATTGCTTTATCTGCGAACACGGGTTGATGACAACTGCTGCGCCAGGACCAAAGGACCAAACTGTTGCTGAACTTCCAAATCTGTAACCGAGGAATTCCGAAGGTAGTGCAAGGCAAAGATGGTATCCGACTTCCAAAAACAACCCTTCATGATGGACTGGAAGGAACATTCCTATGAAGCGCCATGGTGAAAGCCAAAGCCCGTGTCTCATGAGGGTTCGCCGTCATAGGTGGAGGAAGGTCCACATAGTCATATGTACACAGGATTGTAGATCTCATCCAAAACACCAAGGTAGTATGGGAGACTTCCAAGGCGGAGGCAGTGGATAACAGGATAAATAGTCTCTTGCGCAACCTGCAGTGGTCCTTAGAGGCAGCTAGGTAAATCCGTAATGCTCAAACCGGGCATAAGGAAAGATCTTCAGTGTCATCTGGGCCCAAGATAGTGGGACAACAGTGGGATCGTGAATGTGCGATCCGGCTGTCCTGGTAACTGATTCTTGGCAAGGAAATCCCACCGCAAACCAAGGAAAACTCTCGCATGTCTAGACCTTCCAAACCGTACCCGAGAAACATCAAGAGCATGCAACTCAGAGATACGGGCAGCTGCAGCCAAGGCCAAAAGAAAAGGTCTGAAAGGAGACATGTTCGAAATCTTCTCCTCCAGAGGTTCATATTCAGCTGACGTGAGATGAGCAAGTACAACGGAGAAATCCCAAACTGGAGGCCAGGATTGGTCTGCCAATTTGAAAGACCTTAGGAGAGACTGGAGTTCATGGACAGTGGCTACAGTGGTAGACAGTGTAGAACCTCTGAGTTCCCTGGCGGTTCGGAGATGCTGAAGATAATCTGCCACCATCTGCGGGGATGCCGTAGTGGGGGATGAGATGCCCTTCTTCCTCCAGTATGCTTAAAACTTTCCCGCTTTTCCTCGTAGAGTGACCTTGTAGAAGTACGATGCGCTGTTGTAATGGCAGTAGCAACCCGCTTCCAATAACCTTTAGCCGTTAAGGATTGATGTAGATGCGCCAAACGTGCAGATGGAGCGTCAACAGGGACCAATGTAGTTGGTGGGAGTGCGGATGAACAAGTAGATCGGGTCGATCGGGAAGCGGTACCGGATCTGGTTCGGCTGGGTCTTGAAGATTTACGAACCAACTTATGGCCGGTCAGTAGGGCGCGACCAAAGTAGAGTCATCCTCTGTGTTGCACACAGTTCACTAGAATGCGAGGAAGAAGGGCCACTGGCGGAAACGCGTAAGCATTCAGGTCTTCCCACGGGATGGCTAAAGCATCGAGGTCCCAAGCCAAAAGGCCCGATATCGGTGACACAAACCAAAGCAGCTGATGGTTGAACCTCGTGGCTAAGAGGTCTACTGTCGGAGAAGTCATTGGAAGGCAGAAGGTCTGAAACACCTGAGGATGTAATTTCCATTCCGTTGGAGAAGGACGCCTCGGTCGGGACAGGGCATCTCCGATGACATTCTTCACCCCCGGAATGTGGTTGGCTCGTACCATGATGTTGAGAAAGTCCACCAGATCCAAGAACTGTTGAGTCCACTGTAGAAGCTGTGGAGACACCGTTTACCCCATTCTGTTGATATGCCAAACCACTGCTGCGTTGTCCGATCTGACCATGAGGTAAGTTGCTCATAGGACATCCTGCCAGTTACTGATTACCAAAATCACCGCCCTGAACTCCAGAATGTTGATGTGACAGGCGCGATCTATGATAGACCAAGCCCTGCCACTTGTGGACTAAGAAGATGAGCTCCCCACCCGTGTTGAGACACATCCACATACAGGTGGTGAGACGGAACAAACGGCTCTAAACAGACTCCGTCGCAAACGTTCAATTCTTCCATCCACTACTGAAGATGAGGATGGAGCTCCAGAGGTAGAGGGATCAGAGCACCGGGATCTCCCACTGTGATGTAAGTTGCCACAAAAAGGTGTAAGGGATGAAGTTGTAGTTGACCCCTGAGGGTCCATGCCTGAACAGATGTCAATAGGCCCAGGAGCTCCTGACATAGGCGAAGCATCCTAGGTTGCACTGGTACCAGGAAAACCAACCGCTGTATCTTGCAGAAACGATCACTCGACGACTGTATTCAGGCACAGAATGATCATGCCCTTTTGCTTCGTCACATGCAGTTTGCGATACAGCTTCTTCGCCAATTAGGCTGGTTAATCAATCTGCAGAATCGAAATTAGTCCCTACGCGCCGACTTCAGTTCATTGGAGCATTGTTCGACACAGAGGTTAACAAACCTCCCTCTGCAAGCCGTCTGCGTTCTGCTGTTTATTTTGTTGACAGTTACATAGACAGATTCTTTAATACAAATGCATAAAATCGGTGATTTATAATGTGATTAGGTTGTCTGACAAAACATCCACTTGCACAGTTTGAGATCGATTGGGTCATTGGATGAAGAGATATTTACAAAAAACGGGTCCACATGCATTTCATGCCAAACTATAGGACGTTTTTTACTCAGACCCTCAGATGGATTCCGACAATCTCTGTCAAACTTGCGTCTACAAGCTACCCGGCGACTTCGGAAAACGCATCGTCGTCACGGTTTGCACACAAAGTGCAACGTCTAGACCATTCACACCGGCCTAAACAGTCAACACATAGGTTATGTGGGTCTGCAGCAGAGAAATTACTGTTGCATTTATCGCAATGTTTGCGTTTATTAGAACCATAACGATTTGATTTTCCCATTGTGGAAACACAATCAAAGTCTCTTATAGACAAACACACGTCCACACAACGTGGCGACAAGAAAGAGAATGACAGGTAGAGGTGGTCATGTGATCATTTGGGCGAGCCGCACGCTTTGGTGGATGATTAACAGATGTGATGTCGGGGTGAGGGCAGAGGTCAGGGCGGGTCAGAGGCCAGTTAGGTTTAACTCAACTTAGCTGACAGCACGTTTCCACACATAGTCGTAGAAGAGAGAGAGATGGTGCATACCGTGAGATAGGATAAGTTTAAAAATTAAATGGGTATTTGCCATTCATAATTCACATCCCACACATTGACTGATAATAATAAATCATAATGGTACCAGTACAAAGGGCAAGTAATGAGAAAAACTGACATTATATATGGTTTTCATGGTGGCCATGCTGACAATTAAAACAAAATTTTGCCAATTGTTGAGAGACCTCATATCTGGGACCATCCAGACAGAGTTCCAAGGTAACCGAGGGCCATGTTCTTTCAGGTGTTATATTGAGAGACAGACAGAAAGATGAACTGAAAAGTATCATATCCTTCCAGACATATTTTTAGCTGTGTCTCTTTTGTACCTTGAACTCTTCCACTGAGATGTCCTCAAATATTCCACTGATGGAAGTGCCAGCACAGTTGACCATGAGGAGGACATTTCCCAGCTGGTCCTCTGCCTGAAGGAAAACATTTTACTGACCATCATGGCTACATTGAACACATGTGAGGAACATTGTAAGTAAACAATTCACATATCTAACTGAACATTGTAGCTATACAATCCACACACTACCGAACACTGTAACTACACAATTAGTTTATCATGATAATTTTTACAGCTCTTTTTATTCAATACATTTTCTATACTGTGTTATTACTATTAATATCAGTAAATTCCCCAATGAAACAAATACCTGTCGTACTGCTCTCTCCACAGCTGCAGCATCTTTGGATAAATCAGCTGATATGCAGATGATTCGCTGCAGAAAACACCACAACATTAAGATAGTAACTGTTCTTAAGAGTATTAACAAAATAGAGCCAAGGGTCACTGAAGCCAAGCAGAAATGTTCTGGAAAAATGAGTGTGTGAGCCTGTGTACTGGGCGCTATCAGGGACATAAGCTAACACACACAGGCTACATCACTCCATACCTCAACAATGGGGTCAGTTAACTGCTGTATCTTACCAACATTTCTTCAGTCCAGATTACATGTCTGCAGTGTCATTGAGTTAGGAAAACTTGATGCACAGAACAAAACTGAACAAAGTTACTTCCCTTTGCCTAATGCATTTGGTGGATAAACAGTGGTTCATTCAAAAACTTAATTCAATTAAGCAAGATGAATTTTTCTCAGATGCCTAGACGACATTTGCACCACCCCCAACACCAAAACTGTAATATTAATGTAAGTTGATACAACAACAATATGAACATGGTTTGAAGTATGTGATTCAACCAATTTTATCGCAAGATAGAGATTTGATCTCTGTGCAAGATCATTTTTGCAGACTAATGAAATTCAAAGTTATATTTAGAATTTACTTCTCAATCCATTTCTTTTTTCAGTAAAGGCAGGTACTGAGGTCAATGAAGTGTGTATGTCATGCGTAATTTACAGAATTGCCCAATCTGCGAATTATGCAAGATATTTGTGTAGTCCCTGCGAATGGGAGAAGCCCAAACCCTGCCATTACGCAATTAGTAGTGCTCATTCCCGTGGATTGAGCAATTAACTAATCTGCATAATCCCATAGACTGAGGAAGCTGAGTTTGTATATTAAAAGAGAATGCTAATGAAACCAAAACTTTTCATAGGGTAAAGGCATTCTAAAAGTCACCTTCCCTGATTAAAATTCAACAAAAAGGTTGTAAAATCGCAATAAATACACCAAAAAAACGTTATTATTTGACAAATAAAGACAAATATGAAAGGACCAAATATTCAGCTTGACATCACTCCTAAACAATTACTGTGTACCACCTATATGTTACTTCAGATCTCCAATTCTTACACACTTGCCGCTAATATTCTCGAAAGTGCGATCACTATCACTGGCGCTCTCTCTGTAGAGAATCACTATGACTGGGCCCCTGCAGGACAGGGTTCCAGGGGGTGACATCTGATTATCAAAACATTTCTTACTCATTCCAAGTGATTACGCAGTGAGGCGTGCCAAATCTGCAGATTAAGCAAACACGGACGCGGTTGATGGGAATGGGGCAATACCTTTGCGTAATTCGCAGATTGGGCAATTCCGTACATTACGCATGACATGTATACACTAAGTGAATATCCTTAATCAAATGCTAAACCCCACTTAACCTCACCTCACCAGGAAAATATCATGAATAGGATGCTTAAGCCTCACCTCACTAGCCAATATCCTGAATGAAATGCTAAACCCCACTTAACCTCACTAGGTGAATATCCTGAATGAAATACTAAGCCCCACCTCACTAGGTGAATATCCTGAATGAAATGCTAAACCCCACTTAACCTCACTAGGTGAATATCCTGAATGAAATACTAAACCCCACTTAACCTCACCAGGAAAATATCATGAATAGGATGCTTAAGCCTCACCTCACTAGCCAATATCCTGAATGAAATGCTAAAGCCCACTTAACCTCACCTCACTAGGCAAATATCCTGAATGAAATGTTAAACCCCTCTTAACCTCACATCACTAGGTGAATGGCCTGAATAGGATGCTTAAACCTCACCTCACTAGGCAAATATCCTGAATGAAATGCTAAACTCCACTTAACCTCACCTCACTAGGTGAATATCCTGAATTCGATACTGCTGAAATCTTTGCTTGTTATTCCGAATGTTTTTAACTCTGAGTGAGGGGGTGAGTTTAGTTTTACACCGCATATGGCGGTGATCTGTAAATAATCGAGTCTGGACCAGACATTTTTACTCTGAGAGATGCCTGTATGACATATGGTGAGCAATAATCATATACAGTAAAGGGAACACTAATATTAGTTCATTATGACCACAGTTTGTTTTGCATATAACTAAAACATACAGCCAGTGGTCGGGACCAAGACAGTAGTTTGTTATATCCATCAGTTCATTATTTTACTTTTATGTAATTTATCATTAGGAAGGTCTTCCTGATTCTCTCTGTCCCTCTTGAACCCTGCTGCCCACATCTTACAGTGGCAACGCAAGGATTGGCATCCACTGACGTCATGTCCACATGGAAGGTTGTCGGAGCCCTTTAAGTTGGAGGTAGTTGATGACAGTACCATAGTCCATTTTGATCAACAGAGAATACCTCGTGACTGTGATGACTGCTGAAGTATGCTGCCTGGTTGTGTATTGGGTTCAAAATTCAACTGGAGAAAGCATTGATAATACATAATACATTACATGCATACTTTAAAGGGTGTACTATATATCCTTTATAGTTACACTCTTTTCAGCCACATTATGCATAACCACATTCTCTTCCCACAGAGGTTACTCCTGTCATATCTTCCTACGTAACCTCTGTTCTAATACGGCCCTTTCATGGCGTGAGCGTTCAAGACTCGTGATTGGAGGCAATCAGATTTAGTTGTGCAATCAGCGACGTTGTTTCAAAAGTGATCATTTGCAAGGCCTCGGTAATTTCCGTATGCTTCGAGAAAACTAAACCTCTTCCCCTGTGCGATGCGTAAACTTTCTTCTAGACAGAACTCGGTCATCTTATGGCTGATCAGTGGCGTCTCCATCGCCCTTGTTTACAACGGACAAGCTAGCCATTAAACGTCTTGTGTGTAATATCAACACAAGTCCCCGGCAGATGGGGGATATTTGTGGCCCCACATTTGCTTGTGTTAGTCAAGTTGAATCTAAGTCGATGTAACACGTGTTCTGATTGGATAGAAAGAAGGGAGATAATTCGTGTTGCGATCTTTTGCCGCTAGAGGATTTTACGAGAACCGGGAAATATGGCCGTATTAGAACAGGGGTTCATAGGAAGATATGACAAGTAACCTCTGTGGGAAGAGAATGGCATAACCATGATTTAATGTTTTCTTGAAACCAACAAAGAAAGAACCTGATTAGATTTGTCCTGAAGAAACTTTTCAACTTCTTCTTTGGCTTCTTGCAACTTTGTCTGAAAACACACAAAATTTAAAATACAAAATGTCCTTTTCCTGTCTGTCTGAGACCTGGGCCCTTATTCTCATAACGTTCGTAGCTCTAAGAGTTCTTAACTTTGAACGTAAGCCAATTTGTTAAGAATGGGTTTAAGAAGTTGGTAGGGATACAAATGTTTCGAGAATAGCTAGCCTGGCGTTTCCACTTATCAGCTACAACAGAACACTATTAGGTTTTATTATATATCTTCAATTAACATGATTAATATCTTTTATTTATGAGTTTACAAATCTGTTACACTTCAACACTGTATTATTGTTACACGTCAACACTGTATTATTGTTACACGTCAACACTGCATTATGGTTACCCTTCAACACTGTATTATTGTTACACTTCAACACTGTATTATTGTTACACTTCAACACTGTATTATTGTTACACTTCAACACTGTATTATTGTTACACGTCAACACTGCATTATTGTTACACGTCAACACTGTATTATTGTTACACGTCAACACTGTATTATTGTTACTCTTCAACAAAGTATTATTGTTACACGTCAACACTGTATTATTGTTACACGTCAACACTGCATTATGGTTACACTTCAACACTGTATTATTGTTACACTTCAACACTGTATTATTGTTACACTTCAACACTGTATTATTGTTACACTTCAACACTGTATTATTGTTACACTTCAATTCTGTATTATTGTTACACTTCAACACTGTATTATTGTTACACGTCAACACTGTATTATTGTTACACGTCAACACTGTATTATTGTTACACGTCAACACTGTATTATTGTTACACTTCAACACTGTATTATTGTTACACGTCAACACTGTATTATTGTTACACGTCAACACTGTATTATTGTTACTCTTCAACAGAGTATTATTGTTACATGTCAACACTGCATTATGGTTACACTTCAACACTGTATTATTGTTACACTTCAACACTGTATTATTGTTACACGTCAACACTGTATTATTGTTACACTTCAACACTGTATTATTGTTACACGTCAACACTGCATTATTGTTACACTTCAACACTGTATTATTGTTACACTTCAACACTGTATTATTGTTACACTTCAACACTGTATTATTGTTACACGTCAACACTGTATTATTGTTACATCGTCCAACACTGCATTATTGTTACACTTCAACACTGTATTATTGTTACCGTCAACACTGTATTATTGTTACACTTCAACACTGTATTATTGTTACACGTCAACACTGTATTATTGTTACACTTCAACACTGTATTATTGTTACACGTCAACACTGTATTATTGTTACACTTCAACACTGTATTATTGTTACACGTCAACACTGTATTATTGTTACACGTCAACACTGCATTATTGTTACACGTCAACACTGTATTATTGTTACACGTCAACACTGTATTATTGTTACTCTTCAACAAAGTATTATTGTTACACGTCAACACTGTATTATTGTTACACGTCAACACTGCATTATGGTTACACTTCAACACTGTATTATTGTTACACTTCAACACTGTATTATTGTTACACTTCAACACTGTATTATTGTTACACGTCAACACTGCATTATGGTTACACTTCAACACTGTATTATTGTTACAGGTCAACACTGCATTATTGTTACACGTCAACACTGTATTATTGTTACACGTCAACACTGTATTATTGTTACACGTCAACACTGTATTATTGTTACACTTCAACACTGTATTATTGTTACACGTCAACACTGTATTGTTGTTACACGTCAACACTGTATTATTGTTACTCTTCAACAGAGTATTATTGTTACATGTCAACACTGCATTATGGTTACACTTCAACACTGTATTATTGTTACACTTCAACACTGTATTATTGTTACACGTCAACACTGTATTATTGTTACACTTCAACACTGTATTATTGTTACACGTCAACACTGTATTATTGTTACACTTCAACACTGTAGGGGCGGTTGGGTAGCCTAGTGGTTAAAGCGTTGGCTCGACACGCCATAGACCCGGGTTCGAATCCCCACATGGGCACAATGTGTGAAGCCCATTTCATGTGTCCCCCGCCGTGATGTTGCTGGAATATTGCTAAAAGCGGCTTAAAACCAAACTCAGTCAGTCAGTCAGTCAACACTGTATTACTGTTACAATTCAACACTGTATTATTGTTACACGTCAACACTGTATTATTGTTACTCTTCAACAAAGTATTATTGTTACACTTCAACACTGTATTGTTGTTACACTTCAACACTGTATTATTGTTACACGTCAACACTGTATTATTGTTACACTTCAACACTGTATTATTGTTACACTTCAACACTGTATTATTGTTACACTTCAACACTGTATTATTGTTACACGTCAACACTGTATTATTGTTACACTTCAACACTGTATTATTGTTACACGTCAACACTGTATTATTGTTACACTTCAACACTGTATTATTGTTACACGTCAACACTGTATTATTGTTACACTTCAACACTGTATTATTGTTACACGTCAACACTGTATTATTGTTACACTTCAACACTGTATTATTGTTACACGTCAACACTGTATTATTGTTACACGTCAACACTGTATTATTGTTACTCTTCAACAAAGTATTATTGTTACACGTCAACACTGTATTATTGTTACACTCCAACACTGTATTATTGTTACACGTCAACACTGTATTATTGTTACACTTCAACACTGTATTATTGTTACACTTCAACACTGTATTATTGTTACACTTCAACACTGTATTATTGTTACACTTCAACACTGTATTATTGTTACACGTCAACACTGTATTATTGTTACACTTCAACACTGTATTATTGTTACACGTCAACACTGTATTATTGTTACACGTCAACACTGTATTATTGTTACACGTCAACACTGTATTATTGTTACACTTCAACACTGTATTATTGTTACACTTCAACACTGTATTATTGTTACACGTCAACACTGTATTATTGTTACACTTCAACACTGTTTTATTGTTACACTTCAACACTGTATTATTGTTACACTTCAACACTGTATTATTGTTACACTTCAACATTGTATTATTGTTACACGTCAACACTGTATTATTGTTACACTTCAACACTGTATTATTGTTACACTTCAACACTGTATTATTGTTACACGTCAACACTGTATTATTGTTACACTTCAACACTGTATTATTGTTACACTTCAACACTGCATTATTGTTACACGTCAACACTGTATTATTGTTACACTTCAACACTATTATTGTTACACTTCAACACTGTATTATTGTTACACGTCAACACTGTATTATTGTTACACGTCAACACTGCATTATTGTTACACGTCAACACTGCATTAATATTGTTACACTTCAACACTGTTTTATTGTTACACTTCAACACTGTATTATTGTTACACTTCAACACTGTATTATTGTTACACTTCAACACTGTATTATTGTTACACTTCAACAATATTATTGTTACACTTCAACACTGTATTATTGTTACACTTCAACACTGTATTATTGTTACACGTCAACACTGTATTATTGTTACACTTCAACACTGTATTATTGTTACACTTCAACACTGTATTATTGTTACACTTCAACACTATTATTGTTACACGTCAACACTGTATTATTGTTACACTTCAACACTGTATTATTGTTACACGTCAACACTGTATTATTGTTACACGTCAACACTGTATTATTGTTACACTTCAACACTGTATCAATACTGCATTTCATCTCAACAATGAATTACCAATTTATTACACCTTAACACTGTATTACTAGGTGTCAGTTTTTAAAACTGTATTACTACTTATTACATTTCAACACTGTACTACAGCTGTATTTCACCTCATCACTATTACTACAGTTACACATCAACACTGTATTAGTGTTGCATTACATTCTAGAAGCAAAATAATCTTACTTGGTTTCGTGCTAGGAGTGATATGTTGGCTCCTCGCTTTGCCACCTCTATTGCCAAGGCCTTTCCAATTCCACTTGATCCCCCAGTAATCTATGAAACAATCAAACCAGTTCTGAGTCTGAATAGGTGCTTCTATTTAGTTCTTATAATTTGACAAGTTGATAAGAAAGTTATACTTTTCTCTGTGGACCATTGTGATTTACTGGATTTCATTGTTTGTGTATATGCAATGCATATCCATGGGCTATTGGCATGCTGGAATTTGGATGAAGACAGCATGTAAGGGGCCACTTAAGTTTCCATGTCTGTGATTAGTAGTTACCAACAACCGTGTTGTGCTGCCCCTTACAAATTGTCACTTTGCCAACAGAAGTCAATGATATACACAATGCTGAAAGGGGTATTTGTCACTAGTCATGTGTAATGTTTTCAGAGGAGTACGGATTCTCATTCACTTTGTGCTTCATTGAGAGGTGTAGTATTGTTTTGCTAAGTTGTTATGGATACCAAGTCATAGAATGCCATGGCAAGCAATGAGACAGGACCTTCCCCTACTATACAATGACATGGACATGATAGGGAGACGTGCACCTTGGCCCACACTAGCTGAATTTTACCATCCATTGCAGAGGAGTGGTATAGACTCCATCTACCATCAGGACACACAGTAAGCCTCACTGAGCGGAGTGGGACAGACTCCATCTACCATTGGGGAAACACAGTAAGCCTCACTAAGCGGAGTGGGACAGACTCCATCTACCATCAGGACACACAGTAAGCCTCACTGAATGGAGTGGGACAGACTCCATCTACCATCAGGACACACAGTAAGCCTCACTGAATGGAGTGGGACAGACTCCATCTACCATCAGGACACACAGTAAGCCTCACTGAATGGAGTGGGACAGACTCCATCTACCATCAGGACACACAGTAAGCCTCACTGAGTGGAGTGGGACAGACTCCATCTACCATCGGGACACACAGTAAGCCTCACTGAGTGGAGTGGGACAGACTCCATCTACCATCAGGACACACAGTAAGCCTCACTGAGTGGAGTGGGACAGACTCTATCTACCATCAGGACACACAGTAAGCCTCACTGAATGGAGTGGGACAGACTCCATCTACCATCAGGACACACAGTAAGCCTCACTGAGTAAGGGAGTGGGACAGACTCCATCTACCATCAGGACACACAGTAAGCCTCACTGAGTGGAGTGGGACAGACTCCATCTACCATCAGGACACACAGTAAGCCTCACTGAGTGGAGTGGGACAGACTCCATCTACCATCAGGACACACAGTAAGCCTCACTGAGCGGAGTGGGACAGACTCCATCTACCATCGGGACACACAGTAAGCCTCACTGAGTGGAGTGGGACAGACTCCATCTACCATCAGGACACACAGTAAGCCTCACTGAGCTGGAGTGGAGTGGGACAGTAACTTCATCCATCTACCATCAGGACACACAGTAAGCCTCACTTAGAGTGGAGTGGGACAGACTCCATCTACCATCGGGACACACAGTAAGCCTCACTGAGTGGAGTGGGACAGGGACAGACTCCTATCTACCATCAGGACACAGCCTCACTGAGTGGAGACAGACTCCATCTACCACCAGGACACAAGCCTCACTGGAGTGGAGTGGGACAGACTCCTATGGGAAACACAGTAAGCCTCACTGGCGGAGTGGGACAGACACACCAGTAAGCCTCACTGAGTGGAGTGGGGACAGACTCTATCTAACATCAGGACACATAGAGCCTCACTCAGCTGAGTGGGAAAGACTCTATCTAACACCAGGACACACAGTAAGCCTCACTGAGCGGAGTGGGACAGACTCCATTTACTATCTGGACACACAGTAAGCCTCACTGAGCGGAGTGGGATAGACTCTATCTAACACCAGGACACACAGTAAACCTCACTGAGCGGAGTGGGATAGACTCTATCTAACACCAGGACACACAGTAAGCCTCACTGAGTGGAGTGGGACAGACTCCATCTAACACCAGGACACACAGTAAGCCTCACTGAGTGGAGTGGGATAGACTCCATCTACCATCAGGACACACAGTAAGCCTCACTGAGCGGAGTGGGACAGACTCCATCTACCATCAGGACACACAGTAAGCCTCACTGAGAGGAGTGGGATAGACTCTATCTAACACCAGGACACACAGTAAGCCTCACTGAGTGGAGTGGGATAGACTCCATCTACCATCAGGACACACAGTAAGCCTCACTGAGCGGAGTGGGACAGACTCCATCTACCATCAGGACACACAGTAAGCCTCACTGACTGAGCGGAGTGGGACAGACTATCTACTATCGGGACACACAGTAAGCTTCATTGAGCGTATGAACGTTTGACGAATATTGTAGCAATATTATGTACCGGTACTTATTATAGAAAATAGTCAACTTTGATATCTGCGAATCATGATCTTCATGATTAATGCAACGAGGTGAGTGATTGAGTTTAGTTTAATGCTGCACTCAGCAATGTTCCAGCTATATGGCGGCAGTCTGTAAATAATCGAGTCTGGACCAGACAACCCAGTGATCAACAGCATGAGCATCGATCTACGTAATTGGGGTACGATGACATGTGTCAACCGAATCAGCAAGACTGACCCCACAATCCCGTTGGTTGCCTCTTACGACAAGCATGGGCTACTGAAGATCAGTTCTAACCTGGATCTCCACAGGCCTTAATGCAATGGGATTACCAGTGTTTTAGACTGAAATTCACATGTACATTTATTTGCACGGGGAACTTGACAGCTCCTCCACAGATAGACTAACTCTATTGAAACACTCTGATATATTATTTTGCTAGACTACAGACTACCAGATTACAGATTACATCCTGCCATATTGGTAAGTGTACATGGGTTGTACTCAGAAAGGCCAAATTTAAAAAGTCAAAAGGGCCAAAGAAAAGTCAAAAGGGCCATAGATTTAAGTCAAAAGGGTCATAGATCAAATTCAAATAAGAACACACAAACTAATATATATTTTATATGCTTTATTATGTTTGTATCAATATGTAGTAATATGGGATCATCTTGTACAGCCCCAACTGCTGGTCTGTGGTCCGGACATTCATACGACGATGCCAACCTAAAAGAGACATTTTTTAACATTATATCTGAGACATATAACAAGATAATAACAATCGGCATAAGTGAAACCATTCCTGTCTACCAGTTTTGGTTTAGCTTTCTGAGATCCACCCTGGACCAGTGTGTAGGCTGGTGTATCTGGATCTTCTCCTCTCTCATCATCGAGATTCTCATCCTCCATCTACCTGAAAATGAAGTTTTCAATATTTGATATGATGATATATTATGATATGATAATGAGGATAATAAGGTCAATGAATTTTAGTCTGATAGCACAGATTTAATAATGAATTTGAAATTCTTACATTAAGTTAACAATATAAAGTAAACATATGATATGTTACCTTTCTTGGATATCTTCCACTTCCTCAAATGTCACTACCGGACTCTCAATCGTCGACATGGCTCCAGGTTGCTCCAACTCGACTGTAAAGTCTCCAACCGTATTCGGACTCAGAGCAGACATGGCAGATAAAGTGAAATTCCTCCCCGTTCTTGCAAAGACGGAGGTACATGTATTCCTGTCTGGTCATGTTTCTGTCACAGCTACGATGGGTCCATCTCTGATAGTTCCAGAGCATGTTGGTTCTTCCTAACTGTCTTGTCACAAGCTACACACTTTACAGGCATGGTTACCAATTTGAATTGTGGTTGAACTGTTCGCCTTATATTGCATTCTGAGTCATGATACCAATCACAACCACTCTGGGATGATTTAAATATATAGCACCAAGACACTCTGAGATGTTTAGGATTAGAACTACTGCAACAACATGTAGTGAATTTCTTCTAATCTTACTATTTTCTAAAAGTTTGGCCCTTTTGACTTAATCCTATGGCAATTTTGATTTTTCTTTGGCCCTTTTGACTTTTTCAATTTTGGCCCGTTCGTCCTTTGGCCCTTTTGACCAGTTCCTGTGTGCACAGGCTCATTCCTTCCTAACAGTTTCAAAATTGTTTTTCTGCTCTTTTTAGCCACTATACTAACTTATCAAGCTTAAAACAAACGGAGTGATGTTTATGAAAAGTACAATGTTTCTTGAAAGGTGCCCCCAGTGTCAATGATGAGACTGTCTCATGCCAATATTAAAGATATGTACAGTGTTTGATCCACCCCCATAACTTTTGTGTAGTAAAGTACAGTTTTGCCCTGAACTGTTCTTGCTAAAGCATGAAGATTCGTGCTTTAAATAATATAGTTCAGGGCAAAACTGTACATTTATATAAATACTACACTGTAGATGGTGGTAGAACTTCTTTTTACGATCCCAAATTCAATAGTTACCGACGAATTCTAAGGCAGAAAAACAAACACAAAAACGACAGTGTCAGTCACCTAAACAACAATCCTCCATCAGGGCTAAATTGTGTGCAGTTCTATTTACGTGTCTATTGCCTACGTTAAAACGCATGCTACAAAGAAAACAAATGATAAACAGTTTGAAGACTGTTACGGTCGGGTTAAGTATCTTCTTATTTCAATTAAATCTGAGATTAATATAAACCATATGGGACAATATGAACGTCGTATTTCTACATCCCATATAAGTTTGGATCAGTACATCCAGCTGAAGCTGACTGGTCACATGACATTTCACAGATGCATTGTGGTGCGTGAAATAATGGCATGACCATGATGCTTGGCTTTGCGTTACAATGGTATGAACTGGCCCACCTGCTTTTCAGCCGAGCATTGTTAACCAATAACGTACGATGATAATCTTACCAAGACATGTTCGTTAATCAGTTCCAATGGTTTCGGTGCTATGAGAGGAGAAGCAAGATACAATACGATTAAGAAAGCCACGAAGAAAGCTACTGCAATCCAAAACCACATCTTGTAGAGCTCTGGGACCGGTAAACTACAACACGTCCAGCACTATTCCAACCGGAAGTCATAATTCGATGTGCGCATTCGCATGTAAGTGTTGCAATGGACTTTTAATTGCTTCGGTTGAAATTGATACTACATTGGTCAATGGTTTCATTGATTATTTTAAATATTTTTTAGAGCTGGCAATCCTGTATCTGCTCTTGTAAGGGAGGCTACTCCCAGCGCACACGCTTAACGCATGCCACTAAATATGAACGCTTTACATGGTTCTAGACTTATAAATACTACATGCATGTAATTTTTTTCTGTTCTAAATCATCAGTGCTGTTACAATGACATGTATATCTGTATGTTGTATTCATAAAAACAATTGTCATGTATTTCTTTTCTTTTCTTTTAAAATCGGTACGATAACTCCGGTTTCGGCTACCTTCAAGACAGAAATCAACAATAGTTTGTTGTTTAACCCTCATTTCAGCACGTGGTACCTTTGCAGCTGTATGACGGCGGTCTGCGAAGAATCGATTCAAGACAGTCTAGTGATTGACATCATGAACTTCGATCTCCGTGGGTAACGATGTCATGCATCAACCAAGTCATCGAGCCTAGCCACCAGTTCCCATCAGTCGCCACTCACAACAATTAAGTGGGCTGGTGACCAATTCTAACCCTGATCTTCGCTGGTAAATCCGCAACTGAGTTAGACGTTAGATGTGCATTCAAGGAAGAGTCAAGAATTTGATGTTTTAATCATATCCTTTTTCCATTAGAGAGGATGGCCCATGACGTTACACGAGAAACCCCAAAGACACCAAAAATCACGTGTTGGTAAGCAGAGCAATGCTCATTCTATGGAATCCCTTGTCGATCATGCCACTTTTTCACCCTAACGTAAATTACTAAAGGTGTTTCATACGAATATTTCTTTCGGAATCATTACAAGATTACAAGAAGATTATGATGACAAAAACGATTTAATATGTTGATGAAATTTAAGTGTACGTTTTGTCAACTATACAGATTGTCCTTTAACTTACTCTAAATAAGGGCAGCATTTTTTATTTTTTGTGTTTCTCATCGCCCGACCGACCCTTTTAATTTCATTGCCGATCCCTCCAAAAACTTTTTTTTCATTCAAACACAGCCGACTCGAACCTAAAACGTATCTCCTCGTCATATAAAATGTTTATCTATCTAAAATGTATTAGCCGCTGGTACAAGTCCAAAGAACGCGAGAAATTATAATAAGAATTACAATAAATGAGAATCAAGAACATTATTCGGATAATTTTGACTTTATTAATTTTTTAATGCTTTTTTGTTTTCCCCCGACAGACCGACCGACCGACCGACCGACCGACCCATGTTCAGAATTTGGTGGCTACGTGAAACACATAAAAAGATAATGTGCCCTAAGTATAAATCCAAAAGTAAAGAGATGTTTTGTCCCAATGCCTCATTGTGTGATTGTTACTTGTAGATATCTCAATGTTGCTCGACTGTCTCGGACATGTGTCCAGAATAATGTTCACTTCTCTTTTGATTACATATTTGGTGCAAAGAATTTTACTGATTTTTGTCACCTTTGGCGTTTAATCAAAATTCAATCATTTGATTTAACAAGAAAGTAAGTTACAACGTAATATACGTCCCACTGTAGAACTCAAAGATGGTAAAGGTGTTTAACAGTTGATTGAGTTAAAGCAAAAATATATTCATTCCTATTTTGTACAATTCCATAGCGCTTTCGTGAAAGGGAACGTTTTATTTTCAAGTTTCTGATTTTAATCTTTGATACAACGTAAATGTGGTATGCGTGATTCCGTCAATTCTGGATTTTGAACAGGAATTATGTGGCGTTAACAGTGTGAAATACGCTTTACTGAGTACACATTCTTTTTGTTTTTCAGATGACTTAATTGTTTCCATATTCAATGTTTCAATCAAAACAAGAAGAGTTCATTTTCTCGTGGTTTATGTTGATACTACTAGTTACCCATGAACGTAAATTACTTGGGCGTTTACTTCAAACTAGTGCTGAAAGTTTAACACTGTTCACTGAGTGATGAACAAGTATAAACTGTTCATTCACAAGTTGTAGTTTTGGAAAATAAACATTTTTCTTGGACTGACATGATTTTTGGTTTTCTACACTATCCCCCTGAATTGTGCAGTTTCGTTGAGAATGACTGTTAAGTAAAAGGAATCTCTTTAGGACCTTCTTTAAAGAGTCCAGGGTTGGGGCGAATTTGATTTGGAGCTGGAGAGAGTTCCATAAGAGAGGCACGATATGCTGAAAACCTTTCTTCCCAAAAGAGAAGAGACCAGCTTGGGAAATTTTCAGGAGCTGTTGATCCTGGGAACGTAGAGTTCTGGAAGGTACATATTGAGATGAGAGATATTGAGGGGCAAGGTTGTTGAGACTGTGCACAGATTTTTATTAATAATGTCTGTTATAACTGGAAGTAAATGATCGAGATGATCAACCAAAAGATTGCTTGGCACTGGATCATTCAGACAAGTGTTTTTGTTGGATGATTTGATGAGAGTCGGAACATCCTGCGGGGTACAAAGTGCGAACTCCCTGAGAGGAACGCCATCAAACAAGGTTTCCTCGAACACCATGTCTGGTGCTCTCTGCTCTCGGACGATCTTGCAAAAAGCATTTCTTTGAGATTTTCGCCACGTACGTTCTGCTTTAGGTCTTTGGCGTTTAGCTTCATGAACAGATTCATTGTACCAGGGACATCCTGTACGCTCTATTAAAGTACGTTCCTTCAGAGGTGCGTGACAGTCCAGCAGTTGGCGAAGTGAGTTGTTATATACTCCTCACAAGAAATTAAGCAACAAGTATTTTCAGTGTTATATCTTTATCAATCTCGATAGCGATTTTTGCCGACATGTTACTGAAAGGTAATATTCAAAGAATACATAACCTTTAGTGCCTGTCAAACTGATTTATCTGATAACATTGACAACATCACCTGAACACAACCACACTCAGAAACAGCATGCAAAATGTGTGGCATGAATGTCATCCACTTTACACATGCACCCTGATCGGTGTAAACCTACCTGTAATCATTCCTCTGGTACAACAAGCGGGTCCTAACTTCATCTTTATGGATGGTAATGCCCGTACATGGATGATAATGCCTGAGAAGGAGTTGTTAACGATGTTGCTTAGATCAACAACATCACACATATGGACTGGCCGGCAAGGTCACTTGATCTAAATCCCATTTAACAGGCATGGGACATTATTGTAAGTCGTGTTTACGGTCTCCATGTTCACCCCCAGACTCTGGATGACCTTGAGCAGGCGTTACAGAGAGCATGGCACACTGTTTCACTGTGCAAAACTGACTTGAACCTTAATGTTAACATTTTGCTCCATCAATGCAGCTCATTATGCACGACTGTTTCAGTGGTACATGCTTTTGATGATGTGCAAGTCTATTATTGCTCAATACAATTTCATTTCATTTTTGTTAATCGTGTGTACATGTATATGTTTTACCTTTCTATTGCATCATTCCGTGATTTGCAATTTCATTAAATGAAAATGTAATGCGACTAAAAATTGTGTTGATTAACTTTTTGTGAGTGGTATACAATGTGTACAGGATTTGTGACTAGGTCCGAGGTTGCCAAATCTTGACTGAATTTCACATTGTCAGTTCCTTCAAGATTACGACATGTTCTTGTAACTACTTCATTGTTTGGCCTCTGCATGTTAAGAGACAACCGCACAACAGAGATCAGAGACTAGGTTGTTGTCCACAGTTTCACAGTTGTCCACGTTATATTGAAGCTGTCACTATCATGCACAAAAGACAGAACCTACCTATAATGTGAACTGTGACAGTGAGGTATATGACGTGGTGTATTTGTATGTTGTTCACTGTCTCAGCAAAAAAACAACGCATCCCAGTTAGACACACTTTGCTAATTGAACATTCATCAATAACTGGTCAGCGTTATGATCGGAAACTTTTGGAAATGATCTGTCACCCCGTGTTCAGCGTCATTATTTCATACGAGCAGTGCAACTGGAATATTGTGTCAGTGTTTCAACTCGCACATTGCTCAGACAGCATCAAATACACGCGTCTAATGAATGACAAAGTAATTCGTCATTTCCAGTTGGTTGTTGAAGATTGTAATTTGACCGGCATGTTTCCCGTTTGCGCCCGGTGTCCTCTCTTCTCTCCCATGTTTCATCCTGACATTAAATATTTGTTGTAGTTTTATGGCTGGAGGCCGCATCACACGGGCATTGAAACATTCGTCTATACGACATTGTCGGAATCAATCTCACTGTAACAATTTAAGGGAATCCTGTCCCCTGCTTTTGCAGCGCATTGCCCAGGTCAGGTACTGATGTAGTTGTTGATGTCGGCGTTCACGTCTCCAGACCATGTCGACGTCAGTATTCACGGCTGTCCACTGCGTTCTGTGTAAGTGTGTTAAGTGGTGGTCACGGAGTAACGATATGTGCGGTGTGTGTTTAGCACTGTCCAGTGACAATATACAGTGGTGCTGTCATAGAGATTTCGTCCATAACGTAACAGACCCATCACAACAATATCTGCGATGTTTCATTTCTTTGATGTTCGTATGACGATGGTTAAGACTCCCCTAGACAGTAGCCTACCCCGTTAATGTGAATACACGAGACCGTCGGCGATTCCCCAGATTCTACGCTGAAAACACAATTTACTTGTGTCGATTTGTTAACAGTCGCACAGCACATTGCCGCCCAGCTATAGTAACCTGCACTCCTGTCGCCTGATCCAAAGGGACATAAGTTTGAGTAGCTGTTTGGGCTCGATTTCTTAAAGCCTGGGTTCTGATTAATCGTGGATTTGTGTAGTTGACCTCTGTAGACCACTCTCAGCACGGCCGATAATAAACATTTTATATCTGTAGGAACCTCTTACAAAGTCCGCATGTTACACATAAAAACACATTGAACATACTGACTATCTCTCGTAGTTTCGAAACATGCCAGTAGACCTCAGTAGACGTTATAGGCCACGCACGTCCCATCTATTAGGAAATACATGACATGTAGGATTAATTGAAATCAACACTAATAATGTGTCAGAACGATTTAGATTTAACTTAAGTATCAAAATCAAGAATGTCCCCTTACCAACTTGCATGGAGAATTCGAATGGTTACGAAAATTCTAGATCAGGGCGCAGCTGTTT